GGAAATGTGAAGGTATTTCCTGCTCTGAATCACGCCGGTATTTGGAGGAAATCCCCAGCTTTCTGCACACCGGGAACGGTGCCTCCCGCAAGCACTGCCGGGCACTGCTTATCCCGGCCATCCGTGTCTGGGAAACGGCTACGCAGGGCGTTTGGGGGAAAGTCTGAGCGATGCCAAGGAGATCCAAGGCTCTTGTCTGTCAGGATGGAAACAGTTTAGGAACGGAGGCGGATCCAGACCCACACGTCCGCGATATTATGCAACAGCTTAAGGCAGAGCAAAGCCCCGCTCTGGTGGCTTTTCCTGGTCCAATCTCCTCGGGATTCATCCGTCCTTCATGGATATCCCTCTAGGTCATGATGGAATAGCCTAACCGCAGGGTGGTTTTCCATAAAGCCCCCTTGATCCAGGGTCTCGCTCCCTGCCTTTTCCCGGCAGAGCCCGGGCTCGCCGCGCTCGGAGCAGGCTGCCAAGCTAAGCTTTCCTGTGCGCTCCTGCTAGCATATGGATTAAAGAGTATTTACTCAGGGGTGAGTGAATAATGCCATCATAAACATGTATTACTCCCAGCTGAACGTCTTTCTCTACTTTGCATGAGAAATTCATTTCGGTTTTGGCTTTTGGGGTTATTTTAATTCCTTTTTTTTTTTTTTGTGCATATGTGTATTTTTGTATACTTTATTTCCTGCACAAGATGCCCCTGAGCTGTAAGGATAGAAGTGCTGTATAACTTAAAACGAGGACAGGCACTTTCTTTTGAGATAATCTTCAGAAGGCAGATTTGGGGCAGACTTTATACATGCAGCTCCCCCCTACACCCCAGGACTATTCGGTGCAAATAAAAAATAACCCAGCCTCAAAGTCCTGCTGATGCACTTGTCTCCTCTCTTTTCTCTCCCTCTCTAATGATAACAATGATGTTTTTTTCTGCCAAAAAACAACCATTTGTTGAAAGCACCGCCCGCTATATCCTGTGTTCACACTTGCGGATTCGGAGGTGTGGGGATGGTAGCGTTGCAAGCCACATCATCAACTTCCAATTTCCACAATCCCCTCAGAAGTCTTTCAGACAAATGCTGTGGTTTAGGGTTTTATCTACAAACGTGCAACACCGAACGTTTCTATAGGCTTCCCTGTGCTTGGGACACGTCCAAACTACCTGAGGCTTCATATTAATAATTGCTTACAGATTTTCTATCGCGTATTGCCTTCTGCTTCATCTGCCTGTTTAGATTATAATGCTTAAAGCTGCCCTACAGAACTCAGGAATTCCTGGAGACACAAAAACATGGATAAATAGCATGTTTCTCCCTTTCATGGCTCTCCTGCACATCAGTCTTCTCTGGTGTTGAAGCAAACAGGGAGGGTGGCAGGGAGGAAAGAAGAAAAAATCATGGAAAAATAGGACCAGCAAGGAAGATAACAGCAACAACAGATTGGGCCCCAGGTAAAAAATACATATTAGTTAGTATTAGTTAATATTACTTATTGCTATAGCATTGAGCCACTTTTACATTGCTAGTTCACCTGAGGGTGATGCTTCATCCCTGCCTCTCTTGCCCAGTTGTGTATCAAGGTGATATCAGGTGCTTTCGGGAAGGTTTCCGTGGAGCCAGGACTTTCCCGTTCTGCAGCGAGGCCGCAGTTTGCCCCTTGCCTTGGCTCGCCGGGGAGGAGCCGCCTCCTGTTTGCACAGCGCTGACCGCAGCGCCCTGGACCGCTGTCAAAAGTCCTCGTTGCACAAGCGCCAGACACCTGGGAAATTCCACCTACACCACAGCTGCTGCTCTGAGCCGTGGTTTTTACTGTAACGGGGATTTAAGAGCCTGGCGTTACCCCCGGGTGCGGACCTGGGACACGGAGGACAGGTATACGTCCATCAGGAGCAAAGGGAACGGCTGCTGGAAACGCCCGGGCTTCTCTGCACACCTCCAGCTGAATTCCCTGCAAATCGTTGGTCTCCGGGCTTGCGGAAGTAATGTTATGATTAATACTTCAGAGTAATGTCCCCCTGCTGCCCTCGCAGCCTGGCCGGGGAGGAGCGGGAGCAGGACCCGCCGTGCCGGCTCTGCTTCAAGCACTACGGCTTCCTCGACACCGAGAACGTCCCGCGCGACAGCCTGGAGTTCGCTCTGCTCTTTGAGCAGGTGGGAGCAGCATCCGCGTCCCCGTGTATGTCCCTGTGCGTCCCTGTCCCCATGCAACACCATCCACCTGTCCCCATGCACGTTGCTGTCTTTGTTCCCACGGACATCCCTGTCCCCGCTGTACACGTCCCTATACCCATGAGCATCCCTGTACATGTCCCTGTCCCCATGTACATCCCTGTGCACATCCCTGTCCTCATGCATGTCACTGTCCCCATGCATATCCCCGTGCATGTCCCTGTCCCCATGCATGTCCCTGCATGTCCCTGTCCCCGTGCACATTGATGTTTTTGTCCCCTTGCACATCCCTGTGCGTGTCCCTGTCGCTAGGCATGTCCCTGTCCCAAGGTACATCCCCATGCATGGCCCTGTCCCCATGCATGTCCCTACGTATCCCTGTCCCCATGCATGTCCCTATGTGTTCCTGTCCCCGTGCACATTGATGTTTTTGTCCCTTTGCACATCCCTGTGCGTGTCCCTGTCCCCATGCATGTCCCTGTCCCAGTGTACATCCCCATGGATGTCCCTACATGTCCCTCTCCCCATGCGCATCCCTATGAGTTCCTGTCCCCATGCACATTGATGTTTTTGTCCCCGTGCACGTCCCTGTCCCCATGCACATGCCTGTGCATGCCCCTCTCCACATGTATGTCATGGTCCCCATGCACTTCCCGGTCCCCATGCACCTCCCTGTGCATGTCCCTGTCCCTGCACGCACCCCCGTCCCCCTGGGGTGTCCGTGGGGGGCGGCCGCTCACCCCTGCCCATCGCAGGCGCACGAGATGGTGCTGCGGGGCCAGGTGCCCACGTCGGAGGAGACGCTGCAGACGCTGGGGGCGCTGCGGGTGCAGGGGCCCCACAACCGCGTCTTCCC